CCCTACATCACGTACGGCTTCCTGCTCCAAAAATGGTGCTGAAGTATCAGTACGAAAAAATACGGGACGCCCCTGCACCACTGCTTTCAACTCCAGAAGTGTGGCTGAAATATCACCAGGGACAAATAATTATATCCTTCCCCCCACCAACCCGGAAAAAAAAATAAAAAAAAGAGGAGAGGAAAATAAAGGAAAGAAGAAATCCCAACTACCTCCTACTCTACACAAGGGCAGCCCCCGGGGTATGGATTGTCCTAGCCTAATCCAATTTTGGTTGTCCCTTATATTAAAAATTTGGTACGAATAATAACGATAAAAATGAATAACATATAATATCATTTAGCGTTCTATAATGGGCTCAAACTGATAATATTCTCTTGCAAAATCAATATTCATATAAGAAAAGATTACATTTATGCTACAATTTAATTCCAAAAAAAAACTGACAAAATGCGCCCTCTAAGACTCGAACAAGGGCAGTTTACACTACAGACAAACCCCTCAACCACAATACCAAGCCCACATCATGTTAAAGCTTGGGAATTTATGTTTATAAATTATAACCCTACATTATATATAAAAATTTTGGTTGCCCCCCGGCCCTAGGTTGCACCAACCCCGGGGCTTGGTGGGCTTACCCCAGGGCCGTGCCTGACTCTACATTTTCCGGTAGCGTTAAGGTCAATGACCGTTACAATTGGCTTATCTTTTCCACCCTAGCGTTAAGGTCAATGGACCTGGCACCCCCTTACCAGAAGAGGTATTTCGTATTCAGAAAGGTCAGATCTAAACCTTCTCCATTCTCATTTAACTTCCTCAAATATCACAATTTCTCCTGGTCCAGATGAGCTGTGGTGGACTCTGGTCCCATCGGGGATATATACAGTTAAATCTTTCTACTCCCTTGTCAACTCAGGGGGTATAAAATCCAAGTACTATAGCATGATTTGGAGATCTCCTATCCCTAGTAAGGTCAAAGTTCTTTTCTGGCTCATCACTAACAAGAAGTTAAATACGAAGGCAAACTTGGTTATCAAAGGCTGGACAGGTGATCCTAGATGTTCCTTCTGTCAGTCTGATGTTGAAACTCACGAACACCTGTATATCAAATGCCCATTTGCTCAAGCTATCTGGTCATTCATTTTCCCTTCTATCCCTACCAACAGTTGGCCGAAATCGGTTGAGGATTTGATATTTTTTCATAAATCTACCATTCTAAGTAAGGACGCAAAAACCATTTGGAAGATTCTGCTGCCTTGTACTTGCTGGTGGATATGGTTTAGTAGAAATGCACTCATTTTTAAGGATGTACAACCTGATCCTCTACAAACTGCTTCTAATATAGGTAGATATACTACTTTTTGGGCAGGTGCCGCGGATGAGAGATTGGAAAGGAGACTTCGCCGGGCGGCTAAAAGTGTCGGACTCCAGGAGCTTGCAAATAAGAGCGCTAATGCCACTGGGGATTGCCTTCCTCATGCCCTCTAAACTCAGAAGCCACTGGGAAATGTACCTTTTGTCGGTTATCTACTGATGTTCTACCTCATAAAACTAAGTTGTTTTGTTTCTAAGTATGTTTTCTTCCTGAAATTTAGTATGTAAGTATGTATCTTTGTGCTATCTAATTGAGGTTCCGTTATGGGTCCAGTTTGGTAGGTGACGACACAGGTCCGCTCCTTACCTGCTTCACCCTATGTGGTTCTTCAACTAGTATTGTAGTAATTATGTTTATTAATAAAATCTTTAATGAGCAGGGCTTTTTACCCTGCTTTTCAGCTCAAAAAAAAATGTTTTGATGGGTGTAGAGCGCTCTGAATCATTTTGTATTGTGGATATTGATGTTTGAAATCGGGTTCAAGTTCTTTCAGTGAGATGACTCAGTTGGAATGAATTTAAAGGATGGAAGGTTGAGGGCTCTGTAATATGTTAGGCTTTGGATTCTACTCGGAAGTTAAAATCTTTAAGAGAGTGAATATATTCTTTTACTGGTAATTATGATGAGGGTGGGGTTGAGGAGATGGTAACGTACGTGACTGAAATATCACCAGGAAAAATAATTCTATTTTGCTTTCGGAGGTAGCAGCACGCCGAACAGATCACATGGAATACACTGTCATCTATTTCCTTTTTGAGGAGGAAATATGAATAAATGAGGAGGGCATGTAATGAGTAGGAAAAATTTTCAAAATAGACCGATTTTACTAAATATTTAGCAAAATCGATCATTTTGCTAAATATTTAGCAAAATCGACCTCTTTTTGCCTAACAGGCCAAAAAGGACAAAAAGAGGTCGATTTTAAAAAACGCCCAACTGAAAACATACGGGACTATTAGTCCCCTATGTTTTTAAGGGCACTAATCTCCCAGAAAACATACGCGACTAGTAGTCCCATATGTTTTCTGAGAGCACTACTCCGTGATTAACACACTGAAAACATACGAGACTAGTAGTCTCGTATGTTTTCTGAGAGATGTTTTTTAAAATCGACCTCTTATTGGCCTGTTGGCCAAAAAAAGATCGATTTTGCTAAATATTTAGCAAAATGGTCGATTTTGCTAAATATTTAGCAAAATCGGTCTATTTTTTAAAAAAAAAATCCTAATGAATAATAAAAGAGTGTGCACGAACTGGCCCACAATTCCTCTTTCTCCATTAAGGGGTTGTTTGGTTCGTTTCCTAGATATAGGGAAATGCATTTCCATGTACAAAAACATAAGTTTTGAGTTTTTCAAACTTTTCCAAGAAATAGATTGTTTCGCTTTGGTTCGCACAAAAAAAATGGTGGGAAACCAATATATTTATTTTTTTTTGTGTTTGGTTCGCATGGAAAAAAAAGGGAAAACTTTTGTTTATATGGCAAAAAGCCGACATGGCTGCAGTTTTCATTGATTTCACGAGGTTAAGGAAGGAATTGGGCGAGAGAAAAAAATCTGATGTGACGGCGGTTTTCACCGAGTTTCCCTTCTTCAACCCTAGCGAACCAAAGATGGAAAAAAAACCGACGGAAAGCTTATATCCTACATGGCCATGAAAAATCTGATGTGGAGGCGGTGTAAAACTTTTCCACCGAGTTAAAAAAACGAACCAAACAGCTCCTAAAGGAAAACTGTGTCATAAAAAGTTCCCCAATGGTTTTCTGAAGTAATATGGGGAAACTTTTTTATGACTGTTTCTGACATTTTTAGAAAGGAGATCGATCCTTAATAGTTTTCTGGAGTACCAAACAGCAGAATAGAAATTCTTTTTAGCTAATCTGACATAGGAACACTGTGCCTTTAGTTTTCCACACGTTTTCAATCCAATTTTTTTGAACCAAATAGGCCCTCACCGAAGGCAACAGCAAGCTTTTTGAGGCCAGTGATGGATTTGGGGATAATGTGTGTTTATGTTTAGCTAGTATAGTGTACGTGTGTTGCATGTAAACATACTTGAATATTTACAATGCACTAAATTATAATTATATTAACAAATGTATGCTATTTACCTTACTAGCATTAAGGTTTCTATTATTAAGCTTCGTTTGTTTTTGTTTTTGAAATATTATCTTGCTTTTTTAAAATTAACGGATGAAAGGGTCTTTCATTTATAAAAAATAAAAGAATCACATTATGATAGTGAGTTATTTAGATTAGTGTTATATGTGTGTGTGTGTAAACAATGCAAAACAATCAAGAGTTCGTATACCTTAGCTTCTTAAAAAA